ATGTTTTTTATCTTTCAACATGTCAACCTGAAAGTATTGAACTTTTTTCTTTGAAGTTGAAGCTGTGAACTCTTTACCTGAAAACCATGTTGAAATATTGCAACTTTCTACAACAGTCCATGTCAGAAGGCTATCATCCTCTTCTTTTCATCTTTTCTTTTCTTTGGTCTCCAGTTCTTTTTTCTAATCACTATAGTTTCCAGTTGCCTGCAGATGAAGATTTTACATGATTGCATAGCCAGAGTTGTAAACTAACTAAGTAGATTTACTCAAGTACTTTACTTGAGTATTTTCATTATTTTCTACTTTGTACTTCTACTCCACTACAACTCAGAAGTAAATCATGTAATCTACCTTTTTATTTAATATCTTTAATTACAGATTTGGATTAAAAATAGAATCAACTCTTAAATCAGACTTTAATTGCACCTGGAGTAAATTCACAAGCTACCCTGCATCATACGGAATAATTACAACTAGCTGCACCTTTACCAGCTTTGATAACACTTTGATGCATCAATAATTATAATCAAAACATATCATATATATAATTCTGAAATGGACCAATGAATGAATGAGTACTTTTTACTTTTGGTACTTTTAAGTATATTGTGATGCCAATACTTTTGTACTTGAGTAACATGTTGAATGCAGGACTTTAACTGTAACAGAGTATTCCTACACTCTAGTACTTCTACTTTTACTTAAGTACAAGATCTGAGTACTTCTCCCACCTCTATGCATAGCTAAATATGAAATCAGTCCAAAAGCAATGATAGTATTTGAAGTTGACCCCCCTGTGTCACCAGCTTTAAAATAATGATAGCATGTTAATGACTATTTCTTACTTAAACTACATTTGCTGTGATTCCTGTAGGTTAGAAGGCAGAACTTGAGCTTATTGTTGTTCCAGATTGTAACATTGAAATAAATAAGTGTTCTGAATGCTTCTTCAAAAACTACTTTCAACACTTTGATTTGAAATGTTTGTGTGATTAATACTTGAGAAAGGTTTGTGATATTTGTTCCACGAGAAGAATAAAACCAGCAATGCTTTAGGATTCAAGGATCATTTATTGTCATTCTGTGGGTTTCACAACTAAATGCATTTGTAGCCCAAAACATAATAATATGTATATACATGATAGACCAGTACATATGTAAGACTTTTAAGTAATTGATGACATTCTTAAGTCTTATCTCTGGCTCTCAGCCCCAAGCCAAGTTGTTCCTACCGAAGACATTAAAGCATTTCAATATATTTGTTCCTTTCTTGCAACAAATGGCTGAGTATTCCTAAAACAGCTGGGCACTGTAGTTTTTTAGCCAATTTCACTCAAACAGGACATAATAGTGTTGGGTACTGTTTTTAAAGAGGTCCTATGATCCTTTGGGGTTTCCCTTTCCTGTATGATCAGTTGGTTTTGATCCATTAAATTGTTTCTCTCCCACACACTCCCCCCTTGCCTAAAACGGCTCCATTGGACTCCTTTGTTTAATTCCGTACCATAGTGACATCACTATGTAACACTTTGTATATTGTAAAAAATAAGATCTGTGGAAAACGAACCTGTTGGATAAATGCGCGTTTTGTTCAGCCGGATAATCTCCACATGTCTACCCTACTTTTATAATTTTCGGATCGCCAGGAGCAAAATGCTAACGTTATGCTATAAACTAACTACAGCCGAGTACAGCGGGGTCGCACGACTTCAACGTTACGCCATCTTAAGATCCATATTCAAAAATGCAGATTCAGAATTGTACAAGTTGAATCGTTTGTTTTACTGTTAAAACAAACGATTCAACTTGTACAATTCTGAATCTGCATTTTTGAATATGGATCTTAAGATGGCGTAACGTTGAAGTCGTGCGACCCCGCTGTACTCGGNTTTCGCTCACCGGTCCGTCACAGCGGGCGGAGCTGCAGGATTTCTGCTTCACACACGTTGCATACCGCTATTTTCGGACACCTTAAAATGCTGCCAGACCGGTGAAGCCATTTTGGCGAGCTTCTTTTGCCGCGCACAGAGAAAAGTGTCATGTATTTTACGTCATGTGATCGGCTCTCGCGATCAGCATTTTTAGGGAGCACCGATCGATCGGCAGAGAGTGAGTATATCGGCCGATCCTTAGAGAAAAGCTTTCGTCCAAAAAGTAATGCAATTCTCTAAAACGTGAAAATCGCTGCAACATCCAAACAATTTTTGCCTTTTTTGTTGATATTTGTCTTGGATGTTCCTCCAGGTCAGCTAAACAGAATACGGTTTTGTTATGATATCGAATCAGCCCCAGTTTTGACATTTTTCAACCATAAACAAGATCTGTTCCCATCATGTCTGGGTGTTTGTCTCGTTTGTTTAATATGCAGCCCAAACTAAGCTGTATGTTATTTATTCTCTGGCTCTCCTCTCTCTCTCTGTTTCACTGTCGCTGTGTCGCTGTTTGTTTGTTCTTGTTCATTTGAAACATTTGTTTTCATCTTTTTCCTGGACGAGTTCATCCTCTGTCAACACGCCGAGTTTTGTTTGTCTTACTTGTATCAGACAAAACACACACACACACACACACACACACACACACACACACACACACACACACACACACACACACACACACACACACACACACACACACACACTACACACACACACACACACACACTACTACTTACGTTACGTTTAGTTACGTGCATTGGTTTGTTGTTCTTTTGGTATTGGTTGTATGTCTAAAAAGTTTGCTTTTTGGTTTTCAGTTTTGGCTTTTTCACAACATTCTGGATCGAACGTTTAAAAAACGACTTGGAGGCTACATGTTCCACAGTCTGTCCAACAAATTAAAAAGAATCCAGAGCACAACCGAAAAGACAAAGAAGATAGAAAGTAGGCAACACGTCGCCAAAAAACCCGCCCCTCCCCCCCTTCCCTCCCGCCGCATAATTAAGTAGAAAGCAATGAGAGAAATTCATACATCAGTAACAGACACACTTATGGTAAGGCAAAACAAAAATATATATATTCTCAAAGTCAGTTTTTTGAAGCTTATTCCATATTTTTTCCATCCAGGAAAAAAGGAAAGTGAGAACAAAGCCTAGGCGCTGGGCAGAGGGAGAGGGAGGGAACGATTTCTGTCTGCCGAGACCAAGAACAGCAATATCACAGCGAAGACAAACAGACCAGACCAGGCCTTTCTCCCCCCTTTTCTCCCCTCTCCTCCCTCTCTTTGTTTTATTTGGTTTAGTTACGGTTCAGTCACTCCATACATCCAGGTAAGTGTAGCAGTCAACTACGTAGCTTTTTGCGTGGGACAAACCACACACCAACCCAACCGGCCCCAAACCCGTTATATAGGAAAAGATTACTTTTCGGTTTCTCGTAGAGTCACGCGCTAACTAAGATCGAGCAGACACCAAACTCCTCCTCAGCAACACATCTTCCACTCTCTCTCCCTTCCATTTCCCCTAGACACGCCTATTATTATCCTTATAGCCTCCTTACAGCTCCGACCCGCTCTACTCCACATTCTCCTCTTCATTCACTACCTCCTCTAAGGCCTTTGATCTCATCCTTTTAGAAGAGACACCACGAAGGAGAAGGAAAATCCACAACGACAGAGAAACCCACAAAACAAAAAAAAAAAAACAATGGCGAAAAAAAGGATGAGGCCGGGAATGGCCAAGGCGGCAGGTGTATTGGGGGACAGTTAGGGGAAAGCACAAAAACGGTGCCACCTTTAATATTCTTTTTGTCTTTTAATTTTTTGGTCATTAAAGAAAACAATCCCCTTCATACCTGCTTGTAGTGATGTGTGTGTGTGTGTGTGTAAACAAAAAAACCTGTGTGTGTGATGTAGTCGATGATAGTGATGATGTGTGTGTGATGTGTGTGTGTGGTGTAATGATGATCGTCGTGGTAGATATCTTCCTCCAAAATTAGACAAAGGCTGAGGTTTTGATCCTGGTAACATCGTATCATCGGCGAACTCAAGAGACATACGCTGCCGGACAAGATGCATATAAAAATTAATATTGCCATTCCTCTGTATCCAAGAAGTGACGATCATGGTGGTAGATTAGCAGTCTGGAGATGACATTGGCGATGGTATGGAAGCATGTGCATCAATAACCATAAAAGCACCGACACCTCTCAAAACTGGAACCTAAAAATCACCAAGACTGTCCCCCTACATCCTGACACACAACATAAAAACTAACAGCTGGTATCATCTTTGTGCAGCATGAACAAAAAGACGAAAACAAACATACCATCAGGATTTGAACAAGCAAACAAATATCTACATGAAGACTCCACTTACAAGGTGATGATGATAATGGTGATTAAAAGAAAAATAGGTTTTAAATAATCCTCCAAAAATAATCCAATGACATACTTTAAACCAGAACCAAAGAAACAACAAAAAAAACATAAACAATATATTAACTCAGTCAAATCGAGAGTTTGAAACGTACCACCTGATCTAGTTTATCACAATATGTTTCAAACGTACCAGACAACGGGTGGGTTTTGCTACATAAGTAACAAACCCCAACACCCCAGTCCGTCCACCGACCCCGAGCCTGGTTAACCAACCAAAAAAACTCTGATGCATAGCTGTAGAATTCAAATCAACTCGTCAAGGAACTCGCTCTAACAGAAGTAGTCAGACATCCTGCATCTGGATCATCTGTGAAACACCGTGAACGCCCACATATTTGTCAAAAAATATAGTATTNTTGTGGCAGATATTTAAGTAAACTTTCTTAACGCTAATGTATAATAGTCAGATTGCTCTGAAGATGGGAGACTGTGATATTCTATTAATTTTCACGTTCACACAGTCAGTTGATTTTTGCCGTCCTGTAATATGACTTGATAGCTTTAAACTCCGCACACGGAGCTCTGATTGGTCAGCAGGCGGTGCTTTCACTGAGTTGATTGCTTAGCCTGCAACCTAACCTGGATACATGTGTGACATGGTGTGTGTGCCTGTGTGTTTCAGAGCAGCTGAGGCGTGTGGACGAGGGCCTGGACCAAATCAACCAGGACATGAGGCAGGCGGAGAAAAACCTGACCGATCTCTCCAAGTGCTGCGGCATGTGCGTGTGTCCCTGTGACAGGTACACGACAGCGAGATGCTGAGCCTCACCTTCACTGCTCCGTGTTATCAGGCTGTTCTCCACTCTGTGCTGTGCTTTGATTTATTCATGATAGTTTATGGAACCGGCATGTGGCTGGTTTGTGTTTCAACGTCACATTGAGGAGCAATATAGAGCAAACAGACAAGAAAGCAGTATGGAACATTTGCATTTTTGCATATTTGTTAACTTGATTTGCTTATTTTTTTACTTCATATTAAGTGGAAGGGCCTTTTCTTCAGGCATCTCTTTTCAGACGTTAACTGACTGACAATTGAATGAAACACTCCTGGTTAAAACATTTCTGACTATTTAATTAAAAGCCAGAAGATTTGACCTCAAATTCTCTCAAGGGCTAACAGCTGCTGTGAGTTAAAGATTATGGGGATGATAATACTGTAAAAATAATAGTCAGATGTATTCACTTGGACACTGGATGATCTTTGGATGAATTTAGTAACTGTGTTGTGTTCCCAGCTCCAACAACAAAGGGCTTTGAAATCTTTTTTTTCTTTGATTGGCCCCTCTGCCTGGAGCATTCTCCATGGCAACAGCTGCCAAAGCTCATGGGTATTATGGTACTTAAAGCCGTCCAACATGCAAAACTACAGTTGGATGCATTTTCATTAACGTATGGGATTGTTCCCTCATCTTTGAAAGTCCTTTGTTTCCATGTTGAGAAACACCGAGGATAATAACAAAGAAATTGAAGTGGGGAACCGAACCGGTAAAAAAAGAAGCACTCTGCCTCTCTGTCCTCACTACTGGAACAAACGCTTCCATGCAACACCTCTGATCTGTCAGTGTGATTTTTACATGATCACAGCATGAGCAGCGAGTATGACATGGAGAGAAGATTTACACATGTGCTTGTCAAATGTTTATTTTTGGGAGTAAAAGATTGATTGTACAATTTGTGAGCATTCCCAATGGCGTATGAACGTGTACAGGATGTGATGGATGACAGGTGTGCTGCTCTGTGCCCAGCGCTGTGTGTGTGTGTGTGTGCATAGTGAGATTATATTTGGTTCTAAATATGGAAAAAAATCTCCCCAAATTGCTTTCACATTGGAGAAGAGGATTCTTTGATGAGTACCGTAAGATAAGGTAGGGAATCTGTTTTAACTTCCTATATGTGAGCCTTATAATCGCTTATGCCAGAGCCATGTAGTTGAATTGAACACTTCTAGTTTTTATTTGAACAACTCTGGATTTCCTGCCTTGTATTGACTTTCTGTTTTCCCTCCAGGGTGTCGTCTATCGAGAAGGACTCAAAGTACAAGCGCACATGGGGTCTTAGAGGAGCCGACAACGAGAATGACTCCAACGGAGGAAAAGTGGTCTCCAGGCAGCCGTCGGGCGTCCGCAACGGGCAGGCCCAGGCCAACGCCCCCTCAGGACCCTACATCAAGAGGTGGGCCCTCTACCCTAATGTTGCCAGTGGCATGTTGTAAATGTTGAATTTCCGTTGCACAATTGACAGATTAAGACACATTTCTTGACGTTTACAGGATAACCAATGATGCTCGTGAGGATGAGATGGAAGAGAATCTGGACACGGTCGGCAGCATCATTGGCAACCTGAAAAACATGGCTCAGGACATGGGCAACGAGATAGACAGTCAGAACAAACACATCGACAGCATCAACGACAAGGTGGGACATCAATGACATTTCAAACGTTTTAACCTGTTGATTTACGTGCATTATTTCATCCTTAACAATTCACATTCTTCCACTTCCTGTTTAACTAGTTAATGCAAGTTTAAGGTACCCTGTGGAGTTATGTTGGAAATGTTAAGTTGCATCCTGGGCTGCTCACTGAACTAAATCAATTTTTTAAGTATTTGCAAAGCCTTTGAGTCTGAATCCCTATTATTGTCCATGTTCACTTGGTCGAAGTCTTCTTCTACTCTGCCTTTGTTGGCGCACTGCTGCTGTTCAGCTTGGTGAATTACTGCTTCCTGTTTATCATTAGACAGTGTGAAACTATTCCACGTACACAAGATAACTCTTTTAAAACCAGCTAAATAGCATTAGAGTTGAAACAATCCCCTGGTAACCTTTTAAGTGTTTAAAATATATTTAAAGTCAGTGAGTTGTATATGAAAGAGACTGGTAGCAACCCCTTCAACATCCGTTTCTTCTCTTTCTTCTTCCAGGCGGACATGAACAAGTTTCGTATCGATGAAGCGAACCAGAGAGCCAACAAGCTCATCAAGTAGACGAGGAACGCTTCTGCCAGTTTATTCTATCAACCTCCAGCCTCTGTCGCCACACCCATACACCCACTGCACACTCGCACACACAGAAAATAAAAAAGAAATTCAGTCAGGAAGAATATCTTTGCCAGCTGTGACATTTCTGCATTTTCTAAATCGGCCACCACCAACACACCCTTTGACACATGTATTTATAGTCATGCTGGACTTTGAGGGCATCAGAAGCTGCTCCGAGAGGAAGTGAATGCCTGCCTATCACTGCTGCTCATATCATATCTCACAGAAAGGGAAGTAGCAAAGTTCAGCTGCTTCTCTTTCTTCGTCACCTTTTTCTTAAAGTTAATAACTCAGAACTGTCTCTCTCTCTGTGTGGCTATGGATGAGTTCATGGATAAATGCTCATACGCTGTCTTTAAGTAATATACAGCCTGTCGTTCGTTGAAGGGTCACCCTAATGATACCCATCTGGTTTAATCGTAAAACATACTCAAATTCTCATTGGCTAACTGTGTAATTAAGTGTAATGTATCATATGTAATAGATTTGAGATGATGTGCTTATTTAATTATTCTTTTTCAAGCAGAAATGACTTGTGAATAAAGTTGTTGTTTTATAAACACTTTGTTCTCATGTCATTTAAGCCATTTCAGATGTAAAAGCTATTTCAAAAATATATTAAATGTTGTGTTTTGGAGAGTCATGGCAAATCTTTCATGCTCGAATTCAAAGCACCTTCCCCTAAATGTTTCTGACTCGAAGCCAAGCTTGTTGTAACTTTTTGTGAGAGGTGTTGAACTGAACTGGACTTGGAAATGTAAAATATACTACTAATTACTTTTCCTTCAAATGAGAAGGAGGGTCAGTAAGCAGCATGAAAAACCTTCATCAGGAACTCCTCCAAAGCATATCGTTTATTTTCTAATAAAACTAAATATGTGAATCATGACTGTGTTGAATAACGGTGGATTTATTATCCGTGGGTCGACTGCTGTTCTTCATGTTTAGTGTCTCCTGCGGTTTCTCCCTCTGATGTAAATACTGAAACATATTGTAGCTGTTTATATGAATTTCCTAAAGTCATCCTGTTAATCTAATTACATTTTTCTTTCCTCCCTTCCTCCTGGCTAATAGAGATTTATAGCACCCAGGAGGAGATTTAACTTCGAATGCAGGGTTCCTTCAGAAGTCTGAAAAATTAATATCCTCAGGTATTATATTGAACTGTTTGTAAAAGTAAGAAAATAAATGTTCAGTTCTGAAACACAGGGCTGTGCATTTTTAAATCTGCCATTAGTTCTCATATAGGCTGCTGTCATATGCAGGAGTTTTATCATGATAAAAACCTAAAATGTAAGAAATTACTATGGGAAAAATAAGTTATAAATGTGCAGGAACTCTGCCTTTGTAGATGATCCATGGTTGTGTTGTAACAGCCGCTGTATCACAAACAGCTACGCTTGCATCTGTTATGTAAATAGCCAGTTTTCACAGCACAACTGCGGTGAAATGATAATCTTATGATGGAAAGCATAATTTGTTTTGTCAAATCCGTAGCCAGGCTGAGAAATTACCCCTGGCAGCAAGATGCAAAAGTATACACGTTAAATGAACGAGGTTTACGGGGAAGCGTAGAAGCGGAATAAGTCCTGGCAAGCTCTATTAAGGCCTCACTGTGAGAAATTGGCTAAAGATAAAGTAATACTCTATTTTTCATTCAGAACAATGGAAAGGCTCTCCTTTCACAGCACATCTCCATGGAAACCTCTGATATCTGGGCTCAAGTACACAGGTGTTTGAGAACTTCGTCACCATGGTAACATTTGATCTCTGGGCTTACACACACAGGTGTTTGATAACGTTGTCAATGTCCCTCCTCGACTCCTCTCTCCTCCCCTCCTCAGGACTTGACCCGGAAATCGGTCAAGACCCGCCATGTTGAAGGACGTCCCAATCTCTTAAATGCACATGGGGTGTTTCTCAATGTCAAGGAAGGATCCTCCAGAGCCACTATTTCAAGGATGCTCCGTCATCGAGTCCCGCCGAAGGACTGTTCCAAGGTCCAGGATCCTTGGAATTCTACCGAGGCCGGAGTCCTTCGTTGCGGGACATTTCGAGGATGCACATGTGTATCCTCCGGTCTTAAAATCCCCACAATGCCAAGGCACACGAGGGGATAGGGTTCTTCACGATTGTACTTAAAGTCTTATCTAAATAATTTATGTTTGTTCCCGTCACACTTTGTTTTCCGTAAAATAAATAGACAAATTGGTTCGTATTAAAAGTCTATTCTGCGCCGACCGTACACTTGTATAAGTCTTTACCTTGTTTGCCCTTCCACCTTTAAATTGTATAAGGTTCATCGGACATACCTATATTTTGTTTACTTATTTGTCCCGGGCCCTCTGACGCGTAAGGCGGAGTCCGCATGAGATTAAATCTAGAGTCGACTGTTCAATTGTCCGACTTGTGAATGTCGTTTCGTGTTTCGGGACTTGTTCAGGTAAATTTAGGAGTGAGTCTCACTCGCGTGATATCTCACTCTAGAGTGGTCGGGTAATGTCCGGACTTGTGATGGCGTAGTGTCGGGGACTTGTTCGGTACAATTAGGAGTTGAGTCTCACCTCGATATTACCTTCAGTGGGGGTAGATGAGCTAGTCATAAAGCCTTATACATTACTTCAGTACCTCTCTCTTTTGCATAGAAAGCTAGGGCAAACTAAACACGGTACTTAATGTGTATACTACAAACAGTTAGAATTTTTTTAGTAAAGGTACAGTTTTTCCAGTGTCAAACAGCATTTTGACAACTTTTATATTCTTGATGACATACTTTCTGTCTTTCTGATTTAGGGTCTCAGCGCATCACTACAGTGAGTATTGACTACAGTGTTAACAAAAGGAGGGTGATTTTTATCTCTGTTATCGACTTCTATTCTATTGAAATTGTTTCTACGGACACACGAATCATTGGTCCCAACAATAGTATGGTCGTTACCCATAAACAGCAAGAAGAAAGCGCGAGGGGCAGACTACTTTTCCTGGTCCTCACCGACCTAGTTCAATCGGATGGCATCGATCATCGTTCGTGTAATCAATCGTAAATGTCGGCCGGATCATCGAACAGGTAAAAATAATCGGAATTGTACTTCATTGTAGTTCATTGGGTTTTTACAATTTTGTCATTCTCTCAGTATATATTTATAGTCCGTCAAGTCTCTCTTAGTTTCCTTCAGTTCGTCGAAACGTACTGTAAGAAGACCTGCACAAAGTAACACGACTATCACTCCCTCTCAGTTAGGGAAAAAACTGTTCTGTCATCACTGCCCGGGTAACAACCACTGCACACAACAACACGTTCTCTACAATCAAGTACCTTCTCAAAGTGTGTTTTTTTACACCAATGAAGTGTCAAAATGCTGTTGTAAAACAAAAACTGAACGTTTTAATTGGAAAATTTAACTGTTTGTGGTATACACCATTAAGCACCGTGTTAAGTTTGCCCTAGCTTTCTATTAGAAAGGAAAGAGAGGTAACTGAAGTTTATGTATAAAAAATGCTTTATTCCAGGACACTGTCTGTCTCTCCGCGACTGTGCCTCCCTTGACGCTCTGTCGGTCACCAACCTTGTTTCACCCAAATTTTGTACCAAAAATTGACCGCGATTGCCCCAGAGCCCCTCAACTCTCGTACCAAAACTCTCGCCAACTCTCGGCAAAGACACTGATGCGGGTGACGAATCCTCCGAGACTGTCGAGAGAAGATGATCCTTACTTTGTCGATTTTCAGGAAGACCTCCATTCGGTTGCGATGTGTTAATGTGGGGTCAGACTCTCATTTTCGAAAGAGCTTCCAAGCAAAGAATGTTGCAATGGAATTACAATTGGATTGGAATTCAAACGATCCTCCGATAACAATGAAGGAATTGTTCTCGATCGACAGAATCGATTGTTGTCAATCGTCGATTGCAAAAGACGTCAAACACAACGGGGACTTTTTTGAACTACATCAATAAATTACCATTCAAGTTACTTGCAATAAAATGTTCAACTCTCTCAATGCAAAACAAATTTTATCAGTTACATTACGTACAATCTCCAAAACACAACCTTAACTTCAATCGATTGAGATGGTTTCCAATCGTTACGTACCTGCGCCCTTTCCCCCTCCCCCCACGACTCCTCCCCCGACGTCGTGTGTGGTAGACAACCGCCTCTCAGCATTGACGTTGCGGTTTTTTCAAGTGAATTTGTTTAGTTATGTTTTCAAAATAAGTGTGGGCGTCATGAAAAGGGTGTTTCCAAGTACTCTTGAAATCAATAGATGTCCTAGCGCAAGTGTTGCCTTATTCAAGGACCCCTTCCTAATCTTGTTTACTTCAACGACTGCAGTGGAAAGAAGACGAAAAAAATGACCAAATGACCGTCCGGCGTTTGTTGAAAATGCCTCAAAATGCCCCGCACCAAACCGTAAGGTGGGTCGGTTAGTCTGTATCCTTGGAAAAAGGTGGTTTCTAAAACCTTTAACCAG